AATTAAAAGGAATTAAGGGAAGACGAGGGCTGGAGAGGTTGGTGTGCAGTGGGGACGGGACGGGACGGGACGGGACGGGACGGGACGGGACGGGACGGGACGGGATGGGATGGGATGGGATGGGATGGGATAAGTGGACTCAGGGCTCATGCTTCTCCCTGCAAGCAGCTCACTGAAAAGTAGGTGCCTGCCACAGTGAGGTGTGTCTGGGGAGGGGACAGCTCTGTGTGTACTGAGGTTGCTGCCATGCAAGAGGACACATGGAAGCCCCTCAGGGTTTCCCTGCTCTGAGGAACATCTGCTGCCTTGGGACAAAGGAGGGCAGTTCTGCTGAGCTTCTTCACAAGCCCAAACAAATATCAGGCAGCAAAGKGTTTTTATCAGCTGTCCTGGAAGAGGCCAGGCACAGGAGCTGAAGAAAATGAGATTCATGTCTGTGTCTTTATTTTCTGCTGCCTGTTGGCAGCTCTTGCCCCTGAGGCGCTGCCTGCCCTGCTAGGGTATGGAGAGCGTCTTGGAGAACCCTTCCATCAGTCTCTGCCAAATACCTGCTGGGATCCTGMGTCCTCCCCTCCTGGCAGCCCCAGGCTGCTTCCTGTGTGAAATACAGCTTTTGACCTGGCTTGTAGCCCCAGGGCTGGCTGGAACCATTCTGTGCCTGATTCGAGCTCCGGGGGTGGTGGGAGGGGATGTCTCATGCTCAGTCTCAGCATCGTTAATGTGAGATGATCATTAATGCCAGACAGTCACTCTGCCGGCCCAGGAAAGATAACAAGAAAGATGAGTTTGGCCTCTCAATCCCTTTCAGACAGCTTTTTCCAATGTGCCACATTAAATAGTCCTGAACTGAGAAGACAAACTCACCCTGGCTGCCATGATAAGCACAAAGAGTGATAAACCCWCGTAATTAAAGTCTGCCACTGTAATAACGTTGCAGCAGAGACAGCTGCAGTCTAGCCCTGGGCCTGGGTCCATACCTTGGGTTTTACTTGTTTTCATTCAAACTTATTTTAGAGAGATTCAGCCCAGTAGTGCCATGTGCCAGGATTGAGGGGAAAATGCCATCCGGGCATGGTGGAGCAGAGGAGCAAGGGCTGTTGTTCACTTCCTCTCTGTAACAGAGAGATCCTTAGCACAAACAAATACCCTCAAAATGATATCTGARGAGGAACTGACCTTATAAAAAAGCACACAATTCATAAGGAGGCATTTCCCCTTGAGGAACTACACCATTGCCCTTAGGAGCCTGGTCACTGGCCYTTAATATATGTAACACTATATAAGGTAACTTTTCCTATCTGGGCATCCCAGCCTTCCTCTTCATGCTGGAATTTGCTCCACCACAATCATCCCACTCAGAGGACCAGGGCAGATCCCTGGGACATGCACTGGGGACCCTGAGCACAGCCTRTGGGGCTGTAGGAAAGCTCTTTGCAGACTGTTGTCCTCCAGGTCATCTCATGGCCCCGAGCCCAATCCCCCCAGTCCTGCCAGCACTCACAGCCAATTGTCAGCAGTCCCTGCTTGCCTCAGAGCTCTGCCATCCTGCCAGCTCTATTCCACTTACTGCAGTGCTAATTATCTCTCCTCACTTCCATTTCTTAACCAAGATGTCCCCATGAACAAAATTAAGCACCACACAGGCTCCTCCATGCAGGCCCTTGGCTGGGCTCTGCTTCCCATGCTGCCCCTTTCCTATCTCCCTGCAGCTCTGACTGCCTCAAAGCTGATTTCTGTGAGAATCCTGGCTTTTGGAGAAGCCACTGAGGAGCCAGGCAGGAAGATGGTCTGCTTCTGGCATGGGACTAAAAACTGAGCCCAGAGGTGTCCCTGAGGAGCAGAATCAAATTATATATATATACATTTGGGGCTGGACTAGATGGCATTCAAAGGTMATTTCCAAYCTGAACTATTCCATGATTCTGTGATCTCTTCCATCCATTTGTCTCCCTGCCTATCTTGTGCTGCCCATTACCATCTGTAGGCACTAGGTGTTGGCTTTTCACCATCACCACTACTCTGGAACAAGGTGAATAAATTAAATATGGTTTGAAAATCAGCCTAAGCTCAAACCCAGCAGAGTTTCCTGACATCTACATTTTCCTGCTTCCCTCCTCCCCTAACGAAGGCTGGGGTCTGTGGGAAAGGCTGCTGTGCTGCATCATGGCTTGGTAGCCCAAACCTGCCCCCCTGCCCAGCCCTAGACAGGGATTGCTCATTCCCAGGCTCACAAGGGCTTTGCCAAATTCACACTGTACGAATTTTCCCCATAGCATAGCTATGTGAAGGAAGGGAAAAAACAACCCTTCCTTTGAAACCATTTTCCCTTGAAAAGGGGTGGCAAAAAATCCACTGGCACACTCTGGAGCCATTTATCATGGCTACAAATATACAAGGCAATTGCTGTAAAACTTGGGTTTGGTTCCATAAAGGAAAAAAAACCCACCCCGTGCTTGTTGCAAACAATCACAGCACCAAAAAAAAAGCCTTACAAGGCTGGGGCAGCCTCATAGATGGATTGCTTTTTAATCCCCAAGGCTATGGTGATAAATCTTTCCACTGGAAGCTCTGGAGATACTGTGTCACTCAGGGCATGCAGCAGCGTGGGGGGAAACAGCTCCAGGAGCTGAGCAGGCAGCAGGGCAGGAGGGTTCTCCTGCAGCCCAGAGCAGGTGAATAAAGCAGGAGCTGACAGCTGCTCTAAGTCTGGAGGACTGATGGACAAGTTTTGGGGAATAACTCTTAGGAAGTAAAGTGTTTGGAGAGGAGATGGTGGCACAGAGCCTGACCTGACCTCATGCTCCGTATTGCAGGGACAGAGATGCTTCTCCCAGCTCCGAGCAAAGACTCGGAGCAACAGCATCCACACACTCCCTGCATCTCCTGGCACCTCAGTGTACCTCCACTCTGTCCCATCTGGGCTCCCTTGGGTCCTGAAATATTTATTTGACTCCCAGGCAGTGTTTTGGAATGCTCCTTCTGCCCAACCATCCTGAAGCACTGGTCATTCCCCCTGGTYATTGCCCATCCTTGGCTTCTGCATTTCCCTGTCCACAGGGCCCTTTGCTAACCCGAATAATCCCTCARATTTGTACTTGGAAGGTGGCAGGGACCAGACTGAGCCTGAGGGCTCAGGGCARTGGGGAGCATCGTTCTTGGAGCAAACATCTCCATAATTCCCTTCCTGGGGGCTGCAATGAGCCTGAGGAGGGAAGGAGTCATCAACAACTGCCTTCCCCGTGATGGAGAGGAGCACAATGCTCCTCATAGAACCACTCTCCCTGAGGAAATCAGCTCCTTGTTTATTAGGTTTCATGCAGATTTTACTATTAATTATAGGATTAAAGGACTTGCCTAGCAGCCTTTGATCCAGCATCTCTTGGGAGCCTGGCTGGCGTGTGGTGCCCGTGAAGCCTCCAAATGCTGTCGCCAAAACCCAGCCAGGGAAGCAAAGTTTGCCCACACACATCCACCCAGGAACTGCCACCCGCTGTGCTGCAGCTGCATCTCTGCCAAGCTTTTGGGATGCTTTCCAGGGTGATCCTGGCCCGGCTGTGCATGTGGAGCGGGTGGTGGGGCAGCCCTGGCATCTCCACCCAACATACCAGGGCATGGGCAGCACATTCCCCTCCTGCATCTCCAAGCGAGAATTTGGGGTCACCAAGGAGGATGGGGAGTCYCAGGCYAGGAGATAGCTGGGGATACAAGGCTGGTAAAGGCAAAGCCAGTGCCTCACCTTACCGGCTGCTTTAAATTCCACTCCAGCTGTGCCAGGACTCCTTAAAAATTCCTGGAAACACACTCTGACACTGACCAAGCAGCTTGAGCTGCAGCAGGCACAGCTGTATCCCTGCACAGCCTGGCTGCTCTGGAGCAGCAGGACAAGCTCTCCCAACGTGCAGCACGAGGGACCCCAAAGCTCCACACAGGCGTCTGTCACTGCTTTATAAAATACTATCGACTGCCTATTAAAAAGCCATTCCCTGGAGATKGGTGGCTGAGGAAGCAGCTGGGTGAAGTGAGATGGGGCAATAATGGCCATCAAGGAGGCATCAGTCACATCCACCCACGCAGCAGTGACAAGAGGCCTCACACGGCTGCCAGGGTGCTGTCCCCTGCCAGGATCATCAGTGACAGGAGAGAGGGCCCCACTGCCATCCAGGGAGAGGCTGTGAGCAGTCAGCAGGACCCTAAAGTGCAGAGTTACTGCAGCCCAATGCTCACCCTAACCCAGCTGTACCCCACAGGACCCCTTGAGGGCAAATGAAGGACTTTGCCCATGGCAGATCCTGCTGTGGGGATGGGGAGCAGGGGAAGGCAGCTGCACTGCCCCTGAGCCAGGGACTGGCTAGATGGGGGCAGGAGGGAGTGTGCAAGCCCCAAACCCTGCCCATTCTATGGCCTGGTCCCATACAATGTGCTTAGGAGGGGCTGGAAGCAGAGCAGCAGCTTCCAGTGCTCTGCCTGGGGCTTGCTCCTCCAGTAATTCTGCTTCAGCAAGCCCCAGGCAAGTCCAGGCTGAGCAGAGGCATGGCACTGTGATGCTGAGCCAGGGGAGCCTCCAGAGCTGGCTGGGAGGGAGTTGGAACTGGGGAAATAGTGCAAAATAAGAGCTCAAACTGCTTGGACAGTCCTTCAGCTACTATTTCAGATCTTCAATATTTCATCCTGCAGAACCTGGTGTACACGGGGAAGGCAGCAGCATTGATCTCAGACAGGAAATCGATGGGTCCTTCCAGCCCAGGAGAGCACGACCAGCCAGCCCACGCTCCCTGGCATTTTCATGACATTTTCTGAGCTGTGTGTCTGGGGAAGGACTGATGGCCACCGCTCCAGAGGCAGCTGTCCCCCTGCAAAGGCCCCAGCCYCAGCTCAGCCTGAGCATCCTGGAGACCAGGAAGGGTGCAGGAATCCCACTTGTGCCCTCCCTGCTGTGGCCTGAGTGTGCCTGGACCCACAGACCCACCACAGCAGCATCACCGTCACAGAAATATGGAGAAAGACCCCTGGTGTCCATCACCCTGGCATGTGGCCCATCCATCATCCTCCCCAGGAGCAGGGCCTGGGTCCAGTCCCATGCTGGGAGCAGAGCTGGGTGCTGGGGGACACAACCAGGGCACAAATCAGGCCAGTGGCTTTTTTTAATTCTCAATGAGGCTCAGCCCATGCTGGGCAGGGATGGAGAAGGGCTCCCCACATTCCCCACAAGTGCAGGTGACCACAATGGGGAGAGGAAGAGGGGATTGTCACCCACCACATGCTGGTCAGAGAGGGACAAGGGGAGCATATTCATGCAGCACAGTCAGTCATGGAGCTCTGCCTTGGCTCTACAGGCAGTCTGGAAATCCCTTTGTATTTCTCCCCACACACTCCAGCTCTGGAGGGAGCAGCCATGCTCCTTCCCTGACTCTCAAAGGGCTGGGAGTGCTGGGCATGAGAAAGGCTGGGAAAGTGGTGCCAGACAGCCCTGAGGGGGTCTCAAGGGGCCACAGACCATTTTTTGTCCACCCCATCCTATGCAAACCTGTCACACTCCTGTGAATCTCAGCCCAGAGGTGAGCACCTCTCGGGGCACCCATCAATCCCTGTGTTCCAAAACAACCTGGGGTGCCTGAACCCCTGGCTCCAGYGCCTGTGGGCTCACACCACTGGGCCAGGAGGGATGGAATTGTTTTTGGGATTGCTGGCATACCCCTGACATACAAATCAGCTGTCCCCACACCACGATGGATGCCCTGGCATTGTCAGGCCTGGTGCTGAGCACAGCAGGATGCATCTCAGTGCATCCAGGACACAGCAAGGCCACTGCCACTGTGCCCCTGGAGCAGAGCTGCTGATATAACCAGCCTTTCCATCCCAATGGGACAGCACAGAGAGGCAGGGATCCCTCCATCAYTCCTGCCCCACTCCCCACCACAGGATGAGTGCCACAGTCAGATGGGTGCTGGTGATGCAGAAAGCTGGTGCCACTCCTTCCCTGTCCAACTCTTCAGCAGAGGGACATCGTGTGGGTGGTGGTCTGGCCCCTGTCCATGTCCTCCAGCTCGTACTCCTCAGCATCAGAGAGGGGCAGCCCGTTGGCACCGGGCACGGGCTCACACTCGGTGCTGCGGGTGGTGGTGCGGGTGACGCTGGGCGAGTATTTCCGTGCCCATGGCGGGCGGTGGCCGGGCCGGCACATCACCTCCTTGAACATCTCCCGGAAACGGGTGGACATCAGGTTGTAGAGGATGGGGTTGGCAGCTGAGCTCAGGTAGAAGAAGACTCCTGAGATGATGTGGACATACTGGAACATGTGGAGCATGCTGCTGGTCCAGGTGGAGACAAAACTCCAGACGAGGCGGTCRGTGTGGAAGGGAGCCCAGCAGATCCCAAACACCACCACCAGCACGACTGTGGGGAGACAAGGAGCTGATGTGACTGGGGAGGGATTATCAATGCCCCAGAGAYCTCCAGTGCCTGGCCAAGCACTGCCCCATTTCAGCTTTGGCCATAGCAAAGAAGGATGMGAGAGGAAGGAGAGGGGAAAGGTTCCCTCAGTGCCTTCTGGGCTTGTCATGGAGRGGTGGACGTCTGAACAGGATCTCCTCCCTCCAGTGCTGCTCCTGTGCCACACATCTCCACTCCTCCTTGTCAGGCAGCTGGCCCTGTCACAACCCCAGGGCCATGCAGCACAGCTGGGGGACTCCCCTATTGGCATCCAGCCTCAGGGACGTGCCACCTTCACCAGCAAAGTCCARTGAGCAAGAGCTGTTTGAGACCTTTCCTTGTGCTCTGGTTTAGTTTTTATAACCCTGCTCTGCCGATGGAAAGGGCACAGGTGTATGTATAGGGAGTCCTGGGGTCTCTGCCATACCCATGCCAGGATACATCTCTGTAGCACATGGGGACAGGSTCCCCTTTGTCCCCATCCCAGCCCTGGTGCTGTGGGAAGCAGGGTCACCATTTCCTGGGACGTGGTGGARAAGCAGCCCCGGCCCTGCTGTTGGACTGGGCTGGGCAATCTGCCACGGCTGCACCATCACGGGACTGGGGAGGTCAGCATGCCGGGGAAAGGCGGCCACCCAAGGGCAGGCAGCTCCCACTGCTGGGAAGGGGGCCAGAAGCTCTGGGAACTGGGCTGGAGAGGGGAGCAAGAGTGAACAGCAGCAGGAAAGAGGGTGCTCCAATCCAGCCTAGGTTCATTGCCCTGTTAGAGTCACAGTGGCTGTGGGGCTGGGCAGAAGTGCTGCCCTTCTGGGAAATCCTACCACTGCCACCAGCATTTGAGGTCTGGGCAGAGGGACAGGGAGTGGGTTCCTCCATCCCAACCCACCTCCTCTCCCTCTCTCACCCTGCACTTTCCCTGAGGAGGGGAGATCATGCAGCTTGAAGGCAGCTGGCACACAGTCCTCACTGCTGGACCAGAATCACCAGATCTTTGCCCCAACACCCCAAGCCAGACCCACAGCCTTCCTCTGGAATGGCCCAGCCTCGGTGCTCTGGACTGTCCATGACTCAGTTTCCCCTCAGCACCCTCCCAATAGCCTTGGGAGCTATTCCCTGGCTCTGCCATCCCCAGCACCGACTCACACAGCATCTTTGTGACCTGCCTCCTCTTGACTTTCTTCTGCCTCGGGGTGTTGTGGCAGTTGCGGCTGCTACCGGTCTTGGCTCCCAAGGCTTCCAGCATCTTTTCTTTCTTGAGCTGCAGGCCAATAAGAAGGTAGAGGACACTGATKGTCCCCATGGGCAGGAAGAAAAAGATGATGGTGGTGATCTGGATGATGAGGTTGTAGGTCAAGCGTGGCTTCACCAGGGTGCAGATCTCTGAATCGGGCACCCACCCCCGTCCTGGCACGTAGAGAGGCTGCAGCCCATGGAGGCTCGTGTTGGGGATGGAGCAGATGACTGACAAAACCCAGATGGTGACAATGACCCTCTTGGCATGGTTCCTGGTCACCACGTACTTGGCTTTGAGCGGGTGCACCACGGCGATGTAGCGCTCCACGCTCAGGGCTGTGACATTGAGGATGGAGGCGAAGCAGACGGCCTCGAAGAGCAGCGTTTTGAAGTAGCAGCCGCTGGCCCCCAGCAGGAAGGGGTAATTGCTCCACATGTCGTACAGCTCCAGCGGCATCCCCAGCAGCAGCACCAGCAGGTCAGACACAGCCAGGCTGAACAGGTAGTAGTTGGTGGGTGTTCTCATGAACCGGTGCCGCAGGATGACRATGCAGGTGAGCGTGTTGCCCACAGCCCCCACCAAGAAGATCAGCAGGTAGATGACACAGACAGGGAAAAAGAAGTTGGACCGCCGAGGTCCCAGGTACTTATCCCGCAGCTGCTCCTCTGTCAGGTTGGCATCCTTAGGGTCCAGGAAAGTCTCTGGGTGAGTCCTGTTGCTGAGATCAGGGCTGATGGGCTCCACAGGGAARTCTTGCTGGGGTAGGGGGAATTCGGAACTGGAGCAGTTGATGTAGGGATTCATGGCTGTGGAGTGATGGAAAGGTTTGCAGGATGCTTTCCCAACTTCTCTGCTCCCCCTTCTCCCATTGTCYGTCTCCCCATCGGTGTCAGGGTGCCAGGATTTTGCTCATCACCAGGACTCCGCACTCCCCCACCCATCCTGCCCCAGCCACAGCCTGTCCCTTGGGAAACCACACAAAACCTCCACCTAACCTCCCTCCAGGGTTCCCAAGCGCTTCTTTCCCCACTTCCCATCTGCAAATAACCCTGGCAGATCCCCAGTCCACTTGAGCCCCTTTGCCCCATCATCAGGGGAATGTCAGCAGGGCTGTCCTCTTTCCCTGCTCTGTAAGCAGAGCAGGATACAACCCCAAAAGGCTAGCCCCAAAAATCACTCCTGGCCACAATTCTACTGCATATGTAGAAGGGCTGGCAGGGCRAACATAAAACAGCAAGRGGAAAATTGATTTTTCTAACATGAGAAGGACTTACGGCTTGTTGGGAAGCTGCAGATGAACGCTGAGGTCCCACCACCCCTGCGCCGGACAGGGTCAGGCTGGGGAGGGAGCGTGGGAGGGGATGGAGACTTCACTGCCTTAAGAGGCAGGCARACGAAATCCTCGGAGCTTTCCCCTCGGAGCTCAGCTCGGAGAAGCCGCCTGCCTTCATGCACCTTCTGCCTTTTGGCTGCTGTCAGCCGAGAGGCTGGAGAGTGAGCCGGGGGTGTGCCAGGGGCTTCCTCTCGCACCGCTGGCCGAGCAAACTGCGGTGCCGAGACCCTGCCGCTGCCAGGGGCCGGCTCCTTACCTGCACAGCAACGCGGCCAAAAAGCCGCCCTTCAGGGGGAGGAAATAACGTAAAGAAATAAACTCCATTGACTCTGAGAGTCCCAGGGGAGGGCGGAACAGGCGTCTCCAGCCCCAGCGGCAGCCTTCACAACGCCGGCATTTGTCATTTGCGTGGCCTCGGCGGTGAGTAAAGCATCGATCCTCGCCGCGGCCGCACGGGCACCGTCCGGCACGGGAGCTTCTGCAGCACCYGCTTGTCCGGGCTCATTTCGGGGAAATCAAATAGACCCGGCGGCTTCCTGGGGTCTCCTCACTTCCAGATGTGCAGTCCCCGTGTCACCCGAATTGCTCTCCCGTGAAGCAGGTGGCTCCAGCCTGCTCCCGTCACACTTGGGTGCGAGGAAGTTGCTGCGCTCGCAGCATCGCCCCTTGCTCCCGTCCGGCTCGGCTCCCTCCCCGTGCCCAGCGCTTGCCCGCGCTCTCTCCTGTTCTTCCTGCTGATCCCCGTGTTGAGTGTCCCAGGGAACAGCCCTGCTTTGCCGTCGCGCACACACACRCACATATATGCACACAYAKGTAYATATATGCACACACGCAGAGCGACTCACGGCTGCTGAGCCCCACGGACGCGTGTCAAGGCTGCGTGTCCCCGCTCCGCCCGCGGATCCTTTCTCCTCCACGTGCAGGAACGGTCCGAGAGCAGAGCCCACGGGCTCAGGGCTGCGGGGCGGGGGCTCCCCGGCTCCGGGCTCTCCAGCCGCCCCAGCCCCGCAGGTGGGAGGAGGCGGCGGGGCTGCGGGGTGGGCTGCGCATCGCTCCACCGCTCCGTGCGACGGCAGCGGGCACTGCCACCCCGCGGGACGGGACGGGAYGGGGAGGCACCCTTGGGGTCCTTTCACCCCCTCCGACGGTGGCAGGGCTCAGGGGGACGCGGTCCCCCCCAGGGATGACACCTTGAAGGGCTCTGGCATCCCTGGATGCTTCTCCTTCAGCCTGTCCCAGCASCATCCCATCCTGCACAGAGGCTGAGCCGGGCAGGATGGAGCTGAAAGAACCTCCAGCAGGGCTGGATTCGAGCAGGCAAACAAGACCAGGCAGAGGAGAGCTGGCAGAGCAAACACGCCAAGGGCAGGAAGGGTCTACGGATGCCCTGAGCCTTAACTTGCCTCGGGAAATCATCTTTTACCCCAGAGAGAGGAGTTGCTGAAGCCAAAGGCCTGGAGGGTAAATGAGTATAAATAAGACATTACTCAAAGAAAGAAATCAACAAGCTGGAAACCGTGTCTGAAACTRGGAGGGAGGAGAGTTGCTGCCTGCTCCTATGGAAGTGAGGAAGGAAATGAAATTCCATCCCCTCTGGGGATGGAGACACAGTGAAATGGGTTATGGCAAAGTGCTGGTGACAGCTGGGACAGGACACAGGGACAGCAGCCGGATGATGCTGGCAGGGGCTCAGCAGGGCTGTTTTGGCAGATGCCAGGATGGGTGACAGCGCCAGGGAGCTGGCACATTGTAGGTCACAGCCCTTGGGTGGCAGAGCCACAAACAGTAAGCGATGAGGCAGGGAGGGATTCCTGTGCCTGCCTCCAGATTGTGCACAGGCTGTTTCCCCCGGGGGATGCCCGAGGCAGGGAACAGATCTGTGCCAGGGCAAAGGCAGGCTGGGCTGTAACACTGAGGCACGAGGAGCTTCAGCATGAGCCTACTACAAGGATTGCAACATGGAAAGAAGAATTCCGGGAAATCTCACTCCCTTCCATTCTTCATCCATCACCCTCTGTTTTCTGACTGCCCTGACAGGCACAGTCCCAGGTGCTGCCCGAGCTCTGTGCACTGTTACACCGTCACCTCCCCATCCTTGGGGCAGAGACTGTTCCCTGCATGCTGCCACGATCCTCCCACCCATCTCATTCTTCATTCCTGTCTGGGCTTTGCCTCAAGGCAGCCCTTGGGGAGCTCCCTGAGCTCGGCACCTCTGTCCTTGTCCCTGCAGGGACCCCCATGGCYCATGTGTCCTGCACTCCCAGAAGGATGAGGGAATGTCTGCTGGGACTGGGGTGTTTGGAGGTTGCTTGGATTGGAGCAAAGCAATGGAGATGCTGCTGAGCTCTTGACAAACTTCAGCATCTGTTTCCCTGAAGCCTCCTTTCCTTTCTCTTTCCCAGCTGAGGACAACAGGCAGATGGGAAGGATGGTTTGCAAGAAGCAAGGACCAAAGTTGGGTTCAGTCAGAGCTGAGCCACAAGTCCATCCATCCCCACCAGGCTGTCAGATCAGCTGTCCAGACARATCTCTCTGTCCCATTCACAGCCCCAGTTTTTCTGGGACACTGGAATCACTGCACATGGGGATTCCTCTCCCTTTACCTCCCTGTTTTTCCCTTCATCATTCACATCTGCCTGTTGGAGTATCCYACATGACTGGGACCTCCACAGCTGTTCCCACCCTACCTGCTGTCACATMTCTCTGGGAAGAGTTGGCACCTCTCAGGGACTGACTTCACATCACTTCTTTCCCTTTTCTCTTCCTGCATCCCACTTCTAAGCMCTCACAAATCTAACAGTCCTTTAAGAAGATCCATTCTCTCTTTCAATTTTCTGATAAACCAAATGACCAGGAGGTGACAACCCTTTTCCTCTACTGTTCCCTCACTGCTTACAAGAGGGTAAACTGCACATGGGAGCAGGACACTCCAGCCTATTCCCCTTATCAGGTATTTTATTATATTAACCCTAGTTGGGGAGGTAGCAGGGTGGATGGCCAGCTGCACACCAGAACCTGCTCCTTCCCATGGTCTGTCAGCCACAGCCCAGCCCTCTCTGTGGCCAGAACATCTCTGGGTTAGGCTGGAAGGAGGTGAGCCAGAGGCCCCCTTTGTGACCCCAGTCCCTGTATTCCTGCTGTTCCCCACTGTGCCCATCCCAGCCAGGGCAGAGGTTGTCCCTGCTGGCAGCTGGGTCCCCCCACAAGTGGGTTAAGGCTGCTACACAGAAGCTGAATGACACCCAGCTCTGCAGCCATGCCAGGAGAATTAAGAAGCCAAAAGAGAAGGCAAACATCAGTTTCAAAGCTCAAGAGGCACAGCTCTAATAACCTACTGCTTCCACTTCTGGCTTCTTTCAAGAGTGCATCACACAGTAATTTCAGGGCAGCCCAGCACAGCCCTGTRGAGCTGTCTGTGCTCTGTCCCCATTTCTTCCTGCACTTTGGAGATTTAATTTACACTCTCTGGCTCTGAACACAAAAAGCCACCAAGCCACAGAGTGACATTGCATACAAGAGGGAAACTGAGCCACAGACAGTCTCTTGTCCCCTCTGTGCCATCCAGCAGCAGGCAAGAGCCCCTGGGGTGCACTCTTCTGCCACAGAAGAAAGCAGATGAGCAGCCTCTTCTCAGGGTATTGCTGCAGCAATTTTTCCAGGGCAGAGACAGCCAGCACAGACAGAACAGGGTCATGAAGCTTTTCAACAAGAATGAACCYTCTCCCCTTGGAGAGTAAGCAAATGTCTGGGCCATGAGGATGTAACAGGGGCTTCTCTCCTTGCTGGGAGCTGCCTACTCAAAGTCACCCCTCTTTGGTCACCTGGAGATGATGTGGGTACAGGATTCATTTCAGAGACCAGGAGGATGCTTATTTCAGAYCTCAAGGCCAGCAAGGGCCTCTCAGACCCACAGGGCACCAAACGTGGCTGGATCTGGATAATTTTGCACAAACAGAGCGGAAGGTCGGTCAATGGGGTGGTGTTTTTAAAGCAGTCCTGCTGTGATTTACCCAGCAGAGCCCATCCACCCATCGTTGGCTGCGTGGGACACTCTCCTGTAGTAATTTTTAGCCATCACCATCCTGTGCATTTCTACTCACTAACTCTCCAGAGGTCTTATTCACCAGCTGTAACAGCTGTACCCATTCCCAAAAATCTCACTTCAGCATTTTTGCCTCCTCCTCTACTCTCACACAGCCTGGGCAGGGGACATCTTAACCTCTCCCAATAGTGGCAGCTGTTTCCAGATCTCCAAGTCCCCTTTTTTGAGCTGCTCATAAATTGCCAGCACCTTTTCCAGAGTKCAGGCATTTAGCAAAGGAACAGCAAGGAGCCTTTGCTCCCCTGGGACAGCTGTCTGTGTTCCTACAGGATTCAGGGCTCACAGCCTGGGGTTTCTCCCTGCACCTAAATCCTCTCAGCTCATCTGAAGAATAGTTGGGGAGGGACATTTCTCCTCTACCCCAAACGAGGCTCCTCTACCCCCAAACGAAAGAAGGAAGAACAATAAAAACAACAAAAAAGGACCATTTCAATATCCACTGRGATAAAAGCAATCAGATTTCTAAAGAACAGCAAAATTTGCCTCTGCTCCACAGCYTGGGTCCCCTGGGTCTGCTGAGGGGACAGGGAAAGCAGGCACTCTGTGAGCAGGTATTCAGGTTCCATGGCAACCACAATTTTGCTAATCAGGGCTGGCACGGACTTGAAGTGCTTTTTCACCTGGCAGGAGCGCTGGGCTTTTTGCCATTAGGCCGAATTACCCCGGGGTGCTGCCTCGGCCGTGCCCCCTGTGCARTGATGGAATTGGATGAGGGCTGGCTGCAGCCAAGGCATCCTGACAAGAATCTGCACAGTTCCAGCTCTGTGCCCTCCATCCAGCACGAGGCTGGGGACAATGTTTTTCTACTGAGGTCAGGATGAATCACCCAAGGGCAGAAAAGGATCAGGTTATTTCACCAGAGCTGTGGATGTGTCTGTTGGCCAACACACGCTGTTTTCCTGTSTCCCCTCTTGCACCTCCTGTTTGATGGTGCCCCATGGCACCRTGCAGGGTCATCAGAGGTGGCAGAGCCAACACTGGCATTGCAGCCAGTAATGGAGATGGCATTTTGTACCTGGAGATGAGAGATGCAGCTGCAAGAAGGAGGGGGGTGTCTTGTGGCCCTCAGTCTCACACTCTGGGCACGGCTACCACCGGATTTTCCTTGACCTTGAAAAATCCAGGCTTGG